ATATATATATATATATATATATATATATATATATATATATATATATATACCCGTATCCAGAGAGAACCGTAAAAATAAGTAGTTATCGGTGGTCACTGAAGCTGTCATCCCTGTTTAACATTTCTTCTCGTTTATTGACACAATAATGAGTTGTTATTTCTTTAAAATAACGCTGAATATAGTTTAGTTTACAGTATGTTCTTCACCGATCGCAAACCTCCATTTTTAAGTTCGCTTTTGATAAAATGCAGTGAAATCCACCTCGATACGAATTGTGCAGTGCTTTTTGTCTTGAGGATACGACTGATTTAAATAGAGATCACAGTAGCATATTGTTGCACAATTTATTTCAAAATTATTCTGTGTATTCTCAGATTGAAATATAAAGAAAAAAAAAGTTGCGGCTACAGTTTGCAAGCTGTTGGTGTCAACATTGTCCATTGTTTTTGCCAAGCGTGATTCCATGCCACCAATCACCGCTTTCGTCAGTGGTTTAGCAGTTTTCGTCACTCACTCGTTTGCGTGAGCCCTTAACTCCATCCTAACAATTAATACCCAACCTGGATGATGTGATTGTAGTGGTGTACGTTTGCTGTCACTCTTCTGAACGCCATGCCTATTTTAAGAGGGCTCAATGCAGTTTGCTACTCTTAGGTCACTGGTCCACATAACTGTCAACAGATTCTCGTTACTTCGGGTTCGCTCATGCTCTCTCACACGTTTGTGCAAGGGATTGATTTCCGTGTAAAAGTGTGCTATTAATAACGGGTGCTTTTTCGCACTAGGAAACATGCAGTCGAGAGAATATTTTGAACCTCAGCACCAGAAGCGTGCACAATCGCTTCACTTTGCGCTAGTAAAGGTTTCGCTTGGTTGTCCCGATTGACCGATAGATGAATGTACCAGCTGAGGCTCTCTCAGTAAAGGGGTGAGATGTTAAGATGTGCGCATACTATTCTCAATTATTTCACTGTTTTATTTTCTGAACTCAATTATTGAGGTGTAATAAAAGGTCTAACTGTTGCCATATCTAATGCTAATGCGTCGATTTAATGTTTTGATGTCTATCATTCCACTTTTGTTAAGATGAACATTGATACTTCATCCCAAGGACTTTGCGGGCGAGAGGTTAAACTACTGCGTAAAAAGAGCCCTACTGCAATGTTCCTTTGTTGGTGTTGGTGGCCCGATTATAACGTCAACTAATTATCACCCCGGAGATGTGTGCGAATCCCACCACCGCAGCCTAACTTTCCCCATTGTGTGTTGTATGGAAGCAATTTGATTGACTGCTTCCCCCCTATCTGAAAACTATCTTTGCATATTCAATAAAAGAAAGTTGCTGGCCATGATTCAGTATAGCATCAGATTCCTAATAATCTCTTTCCTGGGATTCTTATTCCCAATTACACGGAAAAGATTACGACTATCACCAGTAACCGAACTCTTCTCCGTCTCTCTAGACTTCCGTACCCACCACCTCTCGCGGTCAATTCTCTGACTATTGATGAGCTGGCGTTTGAGGGATTTGCGTGCTGTCATATGCGGCATCAGGAGGGAGGATTCTGCGGGCGTCCAACAGGACAGCCGAAATTAATGAGATCCATCGTTTGTGTTTTGAGCCTGCTTGACGTTCTGGCGTTCTTTTTATTAATATTTACATAGCTTCCTTGATTTGCTTCCAGTGTTCATTGAGTCCTTCGGCTGTTGGTTGAACTGAAAGGCGATCGGAGAGTTCCGCTTCGAAGACTGATTTGCCACAATCGCTGACGTTGTATCGTGGTTATCCGTTTTCGATTGCTTTTTTGCGGTTGTCTTTTGCCAAGGGTAAGGAGACTTTGGCTCGTGACAAGACGTGGTCTGTATCCACAAGTGTTGACCAATAAGAGTGGCATTCTTGAATCAATCCCATCCAGCGGTCGATATGGGTCCAGCACTGTGAAGAGGTTGGTGACTTCCATGTAGGTTGGTGTTATTTCTTATGCGAGAAGTTCGTACTTGACAGGAACAGTCCTTGGTCTTCACGGAGTTAAAGTAGGTGATCTCCGTTGTCCGTCCGGTTGGCTGGGATTGCATGTGATCCACCCAAAGCCTATCTGATTCTTCCAGGGATCCCACTTGAGCATTAGAGTCTCCGGTGATAACCACGATATCGGTTGATCGAACGCTTTGGCGTTATCGAGGAAGATCCTCGTAGAATTCATCCTTGATTTCATGTGTACTGCAATCGGTCGATGCACACACCGACACGACAAATAGACATTGACGCTTTGTTCTGTAGCTGTTGACCCGCGCTGAACCGTTGAGACGTACGTCGCAAAGTCGGCTGTTAACCGGAATCCAATCGAGAAGCGAGCGCACTTGGCGCAATCCCGACACCAGCAAAACCGCGAGCTCGGGATGCCGAATAGCCTGACACACGAAGGGTGAAGTGTGAGGTTGAGGTTGGATCAGGAGAAGGGAGAGAGATAGTGGAAGTGAGGTCTTGTATGCGTGTTTCGGAGACAAAACATACTTCTAAATCGTATGTTTCAAGGGTTCTAGCTAAGCTAGCTTGTTGACCGATCTGATAGAGTCAGCGGACATTGAACGCGGCTAAGTGAAGAGAGAGTTTCGGCTTCAAAAATCCTGTAACTTCTGAATTTTCGGATTTGTTGGTAAAACGCTGAGTGATATCCGATGGGTCTTGTACATACCGGGCATTTGGGACTATTCAGAATTGAGAGGAAGAACTAGACAGATAGGAAGGAGGGTTTTCTAAATGAGTACCTAAGACTATTGGGCAGGGCATACTTCGCGATTGCCCACACCGACGAAGGGGTTTTTCTTTGGGAACCCTAACCGGACCCTTCGACTCAAAAGTCTGATCACTAGGCAGTGGGCGTTTGGGGCATCTGTTGCGTTAGCTTTTTTTGTTACGAACAGCAGGCGAGTCGAACCCCATTGCTACGAGGATCTGCTGTGTTTTTCTTAGTGATGGAAACCGGCAACCTAAGCCCCAGGACTTGCAGTGGCGAACCGCATAAGGCCCCGCTAGGTAACGCTCTTTTTCAGGAACAGTTCGCCTAATCGGGGTTCCAGCTTTTAAAATTGTCGTTGGTTGGTCACATTGTAGCATATCACACTGAGTATGAATCAGTGGCGTGAATTTGTTTCTACCGGTTGAAAATCGCAATCATGAAATAACTAAAAATTCGAAAGTGCATGATGCTCACACAAATTATTTTGTTACCTCTTAATCCGAGTCGTTTTATCCTATCCTATAAAACCAGTCTTGTATTGGACTGAATTTATCCGTTTAATCTTTTCACGGTGTTTTTTCACTTCAAATTAACCCATTCCGATTTTGAAGCTGAGCATGTTTATAATCCGTGTTTTCCATTTATCTTTTAGTGTATCATCTTGCAAGTTGACCCTGTGGTTCTATGGCCAAAACAGCAATCGGTCTGGTTCTCGAGAATTCGGTTTTACTCAAATGATACCCGCTCTAATTCTATCAAAGCCGTAGGTGACTTGGTCCGATCTCATCGCATCGTGGTGTTTATGAAAGGAGACCCCGATGACCCTAAATGCGGGTTCAGTAATGCTGTTTGTCGCATCTTGGAAATGCACGGTATACTAGACCAGGCTAGAAAAGATACCAAATCTAAACTTTTCGCTTCCTACAATATACTTGAGAGCAATGAGTTACGTTCCGCGGCAAAATTGTTTGCAGATTGGCCCACTTTTCCGCAAGTGTATTTCGACGGTGAATTCGTTGGTGGCTGTGATATCCTGTTGGACATGCATCGAACTGGAAAGTTAACGGAAGAATTAGAAAACCGTGGCATTTCTTCCTCACTCAAAGATAAAAACACGAAGGAGGAACGCTAGTATAGGAGTTGTCTGCATGGAAACAAATCGCTTGTTGACTACGCTCTGGAAAGTTTTTAAAATGGAAAGCATGACAAGTGTGGTAGAGAAAATAAAACACTTTCTACAATCCGCAATATGTATAACTTCCCTTCCTTGCCACTCACCGTATATGCTCTGCTCTTTTTTAAAGATTTTTCGTTAGGATATTCGAGTTCGACAGTTACTCGATAAAACCGAAAAAATGCATTTAGTTTCTTCCTAGCAGAGATTTGATCCGGGTTGTTTATGAGTTGAGTCATTCAATACGAATATTTCACCTTTTTATTATTGTATAACTCAAACCCAACTCACTGTCCATCACGGAAAACCATCTGTGACTCAAAGACACTAGATCTGTGTTCATTCTATACAAGAAAGATTTTAAGAACAAGATCAAATGGAGGTGCATTATCACAACAGAAAATTTGACTTCGATGAGTGAGAGTATAACTGTCATAGGGTGACAAAGGGTGGTAGTTTTAGTGCACAGAAATGAAACACAATCCAAAGTAAACCAGCGGCGGAACCCGAGCTTGTCCTAGTCCATGCGGAATTATAAGTCTGCGGTCTCTGTATTTTTGGAATTTCATCTGATCTTCACGTTTCTGATAGTTCGCTGAACAATATTTTATTGTCAACAGTGTAATAGCATACTCTGGTCCTTTTGGGGGTATGATATAATCTGTAGGATTCACAATACAGTAGGCAATCACTAAGTTCTCCCTTTTTCAACCGACTATATTAATACTCAGTAACTGTCTCCCTACCCACACTACATCTAATGCAATGAAGCGTACACTCCTTCTATCAGCGTCTTATGGGTACTTTTCCCTAAGCAGCATTACTTAAATGTCCAACCTTCTGTTTCACACTAAGCTCTTAGTTTACTTATTTGATTCATGAGATTGAAATCATGACCATATTATCAGGATTATTCTAATTCGACGTGGAGACTGTTTCATCAAAAGCAGGGAAACTGACTTCATTCTGTTTTCAAATATATCCCTCCAACTCATGTCATGGGACAGAACTCTCACAATTACCCGAGTTAACCGTATGTTGTATTCTTTTCTGCTTTTATATTCTTCCTACTCATGAGTAGGTTCATGCTATCCATGAAACATCTCACCATGTATATCTATGTATTGACCCTGCACCTCTGTGGTCCCCGAAAATATGATCCGCCAAAAGAGTAGGCTTAAGCGCAATCTTCCAGGATGCATTGATGCAAACCCTTTAGGGTCAATTCACTTCGTGGAAAGAAACGGACCTGTCTGGTGAATTTCAAACGGTCAAAGCAAAATAGAGAGAGGTTTCAGCGGTGTGGTTCGCAAGAATCAAACCATAGGATGAATCTTGATAGTTAATCAAAAATCTCTTCGTCTACCGATCCTTCGGTGAAGCAATGGCCGCAGAGCTTGACTGTTTTGACCGAAAGGCATAATGAATCTCAAAAAATCTCTCGTACCAGATTTATTATGTTTTTTGTCGTGTTCGTTACTGTCCACGTGTTTTTCCGAATGTACTAAAAAATCAGGGTCAATTATAATTACTGTTGCCATGTTAGAAGTCTGCTTATCCAACGGATGGATAATCTCTTCACTGCAAAGACAAAAGAAAAATGCATGCATGTCCAATAATGTCTCAGTTATCAGACTTATCAAAGATGAAGTAAATATTGTTAAAATAATCCCACAGAGCATATTTGAAACAAAACAACAGAATGGCGAACAAGCTCGTTTTCAGAGATTCGTATTCATGCCGATACATCTCAATATATATCACTACTTGGGAATAAAATTGTCATGTGAAACCAAAATAGAATAAAAGCAAGTGTGATTCGTCCTTTGCAGCAGTCCCGAGTGATTTACCCTCGGTACACTTCAAGTTTGGAGCTGTGACAATCACCTTCATTTTAAATGAATGAAGCTACCTGATTGTTGATGGCCCGTCACAAACGTGCCAATCACCAAAGTATCCAAATCTCTTGGGCTTTACAGATCATTAGAGGTTCAGCAGTCAGGTCTCGGTGATGGATTTCACAAACAATACTATGATTTCTCCCACAGCGCAGAATCCACGTAACCTCTTGAGAAATACTTACCGGATTTCACGAGTTATAAGCAAGAACTTATATCTCATACCTTTTGATGAGAACGAGTATGGCCTTTTTTGAAATGATCACGATTGGCTTCTCTTGCTCTGCTCTACCCGATACTTCAAGTCAAGTTAAAAATCGCTTTATTCATCCCAATGGATGGATTCTCAGTTTCTTGCCATCCAGGAACAGTTATCGTCGCATGCAGTCACCAAGAAAGGAAAAGAAGACAGCATCGTAAATTCAAAGGGATGTGGAGTAAATGTATGAAAGTGAATATCGATTGCGTAGGAAATTCAACAAGTTTTCTCCAGCGGATGCTTTTTGAGCCAGAAATTTCGAAAGATAGGAGATAACGGAAAAACGATAGGCAGTGGTACAAGCATACAGGTATTGACCAAACTCGTGCAACATCCTGATTTTTATTACATTTGATCCTCTCAATGCTTTATTCTTCAAGTCTCATTCACGGTTTGGAATATGATATTGCCCCACATCAGATGCAACATATCTGATATAATATCCACTTGTTTCACTACTTCTATTAGCCACATGCCATTAAATTGTACAATTTCGCGATTTCAACGATTTTTGCAAATGCATCAGTTGTAAGATAACAAGGTCACAGTAGAAAACCTAACTGTAATTTATTTATTAAAATGACGCATAGACTTTATACAGGTATTGCCTTTCATCTCGTCCATGTTCCATTTGCTCCTCTTCAATTTTGAGCACTGGAGGCAGTCTCTTTAGGATGGAATCCACCAAGTTAACTGCCAAACGGAATTTGTCAGTTTCATCCAATACATCGCACACTTTTACCACTGGCAACCAACAGCAAGGTAGCTGACTTATCCCTGTTTCTGATAGAGGGAAACGTCTCCGATTAAATTGAAATCCTAGGTGCTGCGCGTTAATATAACGAATTTGACATTGAAATCCACCCCTCTAGAAACTGTATAAATGTGAAAAAATATCTATTCAGGTCTAACCGTTTTCTACCACCAAGCTCAAGCGAGAAGATATACCAACCATCATGTGTGAAAAATATGACTTCCGTGAAGGCATTTTTAGAGTGACGGTTATCAAAAATCTCCGTTATCAGTGCAGAACATTTTGCTATGTCCGAATTGGCGTATGCAGGAGACCAACAACAATGCGCTTAATAATCATACCCCTTCCAACTTGTTAGGCGGTGTAGATATTTAATTCTTTTGACAGGTAAAAAGAAATTCATTAGAAAACTGGCTCAGTAGATCAGCTTCAACAATATGCTGAATTACACGTTGGCCACCAGTGAGATAAACCCATTACCAAATGGGCGGGCGACGTGATTTGAATTTGTTGGTCAAATCAATACGCGCTATGCTTTGTTGGGCGTTCTATAACAGCTTTATATCACGTGGTCTCAG